CATGAAATAATCTGATGAAATTCCTCAGCGTTGAAAGACAACTTTCCACGAGCGTCTCTGTCGACCTAATCCACATCATTTCAATTCAATTTAGCTGTTGGGTTTGCCGTTTTCCTATTTACTCGCTGTAATCTTCTGCAGAGTAAGTAAACAGTCTAGATAAGATGGGACAATTTTTTTCTTTAAATAAATCCCGAGCATGGAAGTTACTTGTGTAAGCAACAACCAAATTGAAATCTTGAATTCAATTTCCATTCAGGATACCTTTAATATAGCCGGAGATAAGAAACGGGCAAATAATATAAAATGGTCAACATTGCAGAGGAGGTTCGGATAATATTTGGAATTTCATGAAGAGAGTAGTACTGGTGATGGTTCAGAAATGAACAATTTTGAAAATTTTTGGATACAATAATTCAGTAGCACAACGTAAAATTTAGATATGACAACGCGCTTTACTCTCAATCATTATTGGTTTTACTATAGTGTTTCGTTGGAATATAGCACACGTTTTATCAAGATATGGTCTACAGTTACGGAAGAGTCGCATACTTCACATATAGCGCTGGTGTCGCCGGCGATGAGGTCTCCATGGGTGAGGTGAGTGTGGTCTGAGTTTTCCTACTTGACGGGAGATGTATCCATGGAAGTAAATTTGTTTTCATTTTGGAAACCTCACTGCAAGATCCATTCCATTGGTCTTGCCGTTATACTGTAAGGATTTTCTTGTAGTTGGGTTTCATATTTGTATGGACAACATAGTTTCTGTACTGTTTAAAGGACTGATAGTGGCTTCTTTAGCTGATCGGTCAGCCTTTTCATTTCCTATCATACCTACCTAAGAAGGTACCCATTTACATTTTATGGATCCCCCTTTCCCATAGAGTATATTGATCAGTTCTTTTATATGACGAATGATGGGATGGCTGTAGCATAATTGGTTGATTGCTTCCAGGGCACTCAAAGAATCTGACAATCAAAAATTTCATAGACTTGCTTTTCTTCATGTACTACAGTGTTTTTGATATGGCGTTGTAACGGTACCAATTTGTTCCACAAGGTATAATCATTCGTAAACGCCAAAATAACAATTTTCAAGCACCCATAGGTCCCTCTCTCCTTTTCGTTTGTAAACTGGTAGGCCGTGAGATTAAAGATTTTAACTATTGTTGTTTACTTTCATTGAATTGATAGACAGTACCTTTCCAATTGTTATTGAAGTACTTTCAATGTAGATGGAGTGTGATGTACTACCGTGCTCCAATCTTTAAATATCCCTTTCAAACTCTTTTTAAGTATATTTCGGCATCCTATTGGCGGAATCTTGCACATTTTAAGTTTTTTTGTAGAACAGATTCCTATGAAAATATATTTCCATACTTGCAACACACCTAGTAGTCAAGGTCATAATTAAAGATCAACTACCGTATCCCTGAAAAAATGTAAAAATAAAGTGTTCCATTAAAAAAAAATATCATTTTATGAAACATTTTGAAAACGCAGCTGTCAATTTTTTTGTTCTCGGCATCGAGCAGGCCATTGAGAATGCTTGTAGTTTGTCCATACAACCAAATTCGTAGCATCAATAACAACGGAGTTGGCAATGGTGCCATCTCAATTTGAAACACTCTGTATAGTGTTTTGAATATTTAAGTTTATTTTGCCTGTGTCCTGTAAATAATGGTCTCCCTCTGAGATTTTGTTTCAAATTTCCGTCGAAATGGTGAAGACTCATCACCCGTGCTGGCTCATTCGGCAACGAAAGCCAATTTCAAAAATCCCTCTATATTCAATACCCCAAGAGAGAGATGGCGCTCGCTGCTTTCTTTGGCCTCGTCAATGATAAAATTTGTATAACAATTTTTTCACAAGCACTAAATAAGTTACAATATTGAAATCAACCTGACGTTTTGAACTACCAAAAAGACACTTAGCCAGAAATTTATTTGGTTAACCCCATGGTTGTAAGGGGTGGAAAACGCAACCCCTGAAATTTATTTCCAATGTAACTTTTTGTCTTATTATTTGGTAATCAATTGAAACATTATTTCCAATAGCCCGTTTCATTCTAAACAAAAAATGTCTCCTGGGTTTTTTGCCGAAAATAAACCAGTTCGCAGCAAAAAATTATTTTAGGAACAACTACTACATCGTCATAAATGCGAAAATACGAAACTAATCTATCTAGTAGGTCACTATTAGCGATAGTGACAATTAAATTGGTATGACGCTGTCAGTTTGTGAATTTTCGAAATTGAATTGATACTAATTGTGTGTTGTTGTTCTGTTCTTAATTGGTTACTTTAATAATTCACTTGTTATTGAAATGGCATACACAAATGAAAACCCCCACGCTAACCTAATGAAACTAACCATCAAGAACAGTTTTCTCTCAACGTGTGGCTCGGAGTTATTGGGGATGATTTATTTGGGCCTCTTTTCTACCTCCTCGATTAAATGGTGAGGCATACGTTCAAATTTTAAGGAAAGTGCATCCAGTACTGCTGGAGAAAGTTCCTTTGGCCCTCAGAAGGGATATGTTGTTTATGCATATGCAAATCAGTGGATAGGTCGAGGAGGACCACAGAACTGGCCCGCTCGATCCCCGGATCTCAATCCTCCCGATTTCCCTATTTGGGGCCATTTACAGCATTTGGTTTATAGTACTCCTGTTCGCGATGTAGAGGACTTAAGAAACCGCATCATCGATGCGTGCAGGGTAATCAGAGAGACTCCAGGAATATTTAAGCAAATACGTGGCTCAATGCGCCGACGTGTAGACGCATGCGTAATGTCTGAAGGTAGACATTACGCATGCGTAGGCGTACGTCAAGGCGTACGTAGGCGTACGTCAAGGGTCAGTGATGGGATGTATCCTTCTTATTCTTTACCTGAGCGGTATGAAAATTATTACTAATTACTATATGGCATATGTCGGAGGAAAGTGAAAATCAGATCATAAAGGAAGGAAACTGTTACAGAATTCAAGTAATTTCTTCATGAAACATCATATGGTCTCCAACCATAACAACACCAAAATATCAATATTTCATATTAAGAAATGAAATTGGTGACTTCTGACTTTCGACAGAACAACGTTCTATTAGTAGTTTGGCTACTCGAGCAAACATTTTCGGTTTGCAATTTGATGACTGTCTTGAATGGAAACATTATTGTGAAATACTCATGTTCAAATTACTCTTTCATATATAATTTGTTTAGGAACCTAATTAAGATTTTTGATGCTTTGCTGACATTGATTTTGGTATACAATACGGAATATGTCTCTGGAGTTTATTTAGATTTGTTAACATTTTTTTTAGTTCCATAAAAAATTCAGGGGTATTGCTCAAGTTAATGAGCTACATTCTTGTGGAAACTTATTTGTGGAATTTGTGGAATAACTGAAGAATTTGCATCCCACACCATATTTTTAACTAGTTGGAAGGCTTTAACATCTTGAGTGATCATCAACATGGCTTTCATATCGTGTATGTCACCCATATTCGAAAAAACGCAATCAAAAAAGATTGAGAGTTGTTCTGCGCTGGTGTTCCCTAGGGATCCATATTTTCTCCAACCCTTTTTTTATTGTATATCAACAACTCATTGAAAAAAACGAAGAACCAAATATATTGCTTTGGTGATTACCGCACACTTGTCTCATTCCATTTTGATTCCAGGACATCGACTGCGGAAGCACATCTTCATCGGCAGCAGGAGGTTGCATATCCTGATGAGGATCTAGAAGTGATTTCAAATTGGGATGAAATTAACCAGGTTCAATTCAATGCCACAGAAACTCTGGCATCAGTTTCCTCCAAAAAAGATAAATGTCGTCGAACCGGATATAATGATGTCAGCACAGACAATTTCGCTTTCTGCTTCGATAAGTTTGTTGGGGTTTAAAATGGACACCAATATGTCTTGGCACAATCATGTCTCTGGAATTGCAAAGGCAGCTTCTCAAGAGCTTGGAACGCTGTTCCAAACCAGAAAACTGTACACACCTCAGCAACTTTTGATGCTTCATAAAGCTCAGATCAGACCATTCATGGAGTATTCTTCTTATGTATGGAGCTCCACCCCTAAGCATACCCTGAAGCTGCTGGGTTCCATCCAGAAAAGAACCCAATTGGAGACGCGAACATCACTTGCAACCTTGAAAGTCTGGCACATCGAAGATAAATTAGAGTTTTATCTCTCTTTTATAGATACTTTCACGAAAAGTGTTCAAGTACCGAGAGCGGTACATATCAGAAATACAAGACGACTGTTGCTGCTCATCGTTTTGCGGTTCAACTTAGTCTCTGAACTTCATTTGGTGAACTGCTTTTATGTGAAATGAACTTCCTGAGAACATTTTTTCAAATGGATTCAATCCCCAGCGATTCAAATCCAATGTGAATCGCTATATTTACACAGGCATCACTTTTAAAGCACCTGCAGTGCTTGTGTTTTGTCTTTGACAAAAAATAGACATGAAAGTACTTTTTTGAGTTCCATTCTCAAAGTTATAATTGAAAATTAAATTCTCCGGTGGCAATTGGAATCCGATTTTTTGATAGATTACCTCAAAAAATTGAAGATTATACTACGTGTTAGGTATCACTAATACATCAAAACACTTCACTCTGAGCAACTAGTATATTTCCCAAAAAATGTGTCAACACAACAAACGTATCCAACTCTAGTCTACCCAATAATAAATATCTCCCGATAACAGCTGCTTCCATGAATTGGATCATCGATATATAGTGCGGTTGCTGCTAACACGGCCATCCTAGTTTTTGTTCGCCCTCGAACAATTGAAAATATCTAAAATAGAAAAAAAACATCTGCTGAGTCAATATATCCAACAACTGGCCTTTATACCGTTAGTGGCTTCAATTTATCCAGCTATAGGCCTTGATACCTAAAGCCGTCTACTATAGGCCTTGATACATAAAGTAATATATTCAGCTATAGGCCTTGATACCTGAAGCTGTCTACTATAGGCCTTGATACCTAAAGCCGTCTACTATAGGCCTTGATACCTAAAGTAATCTATTCAGCTATAGGCCTTGATACCTGAAGCCGTCTACTATACCTAAAGTAATCTATTCAGCTATAGGCCTTGATACCTAAAGTAATATATTCACCTATAGGCCTTGATACCTAAAGCCGTCTACTATAGGCCTTGATACCTAAAGTAATATATTCAGCTATAGGCCTTGATACCTAAAGCTGTCTACTATAGGCCTTGATACATAAAGTAATCTATTCAGCTATAGGCCTTGATACCTAAAGTCGTCTACTAAAGGCCTTGATACCTAAAGTAATCTATTCAGCTATAGGGCTTGATACCTAAAGCCGTCTACTATACCTAAAGTAATCTATTCATCTATAGGCCTTGATACCTAAAGCCATCTACTATAGGCCTTGATACCTAAAGTAATATATTCAGCTATAGGCCTTGATAGCTGAAGCTGTCTACTATAGGCCTTGATACATAAAGTAATCTATTCAGCTATAGGCCTTGATACCTAAAGCCGTCTACTAAAGGCCTTGATACCTAAAGTAATCAATTCAGCTGTAGGCCTTGATACCTAAAGCCGTCTACTACAGGCCTTGATACCTAAAGTAATCTATTCAGCTATAGGGCTTGATACCTAAAACCGTCTACTATACCTAAAGTAATCTATTCAGCTATAGGCCTTGATACCTAAAGTAATTTATTCACCTATAGGCCTTGATACCTGAAGCTGTCTACTATAGGCATTGATACATAAAATAATCTATTCAGCTATAGGCCTTAATACCTAAAGCCGTCTACTAAAGGCTTTGATACCTAAAGTAATCTATTCAGCTGTAGGCCTTGATATCTAAAGCCGTCTACCAAAGGCCTTGATACCTAAAGTAATCTATTCAGCTATTGGGCTTGATACCTAAAGCCGTCTACTATACCTAAAGTAATCTATTCAGCTCTAGGCCTTGATACCTAAAGCCGTCTATGGACACGGAACATATAACTTGATGTCTTCTATACCATATACTCCTACATAGGGATCTCCTTTGCTGGTCCTGCTTTCATGGATATCCTCTTTCACCTCGTAACGATCATGAGGAAGAACTTTGACAATTCTAAAAGGACCTTTATATTTTTCCAACAACTTCTTGCTTTGGTTATTATTAGCAGATAAACTTGAAATTTTGACTAAGACCAAGTCATCGATTTCAAAAGTGTGAGCTGGCCTTCTTTTTCTATAAAATATTTCTTTTTGTCGCTCTTCATTTCTTTTCAATCTCCGTTCAGTGACATCTAGGGACTCATTGTCATCATCAATGTATCGGTCAGCCTGACTTCTCAAATTTATAGTCTGTTGAATAGTTTGATATTCCGGCCATTCAAATAACTTTGCATGATGACCAATAATATCAATCCAACTGTTTACTTCGTCCATCAATAGGTTAAATTCTGGTATAACTTTCGATGCACTGATGACTGTATCACTAGACAAAGAAATTGGAAAACGACTCACCCCTACTCTGCTAGAATTATGCTTGGTTCTTTTTATCTTACGTTTCCGTTGTCTTTTGTCAGTGTTTAATGAGCTAGATGAACTTGTAGAACTCGAAGAACTGCTAGGGGAATGTCTCCTTCGCTTTCCCATTTTGCTGACGTAAGATACAATCACTTCTGATGTTAAATATCACTAATACATAAAAACGCTTCACTCTGAACAACTAATATATTCTCCAAAAAATGTTTCGCCACAATAAACATATCCTACTGTAGTCTACTCAATAATGAATATCTCCCGATAACAGCTGCTTCCATGAGTCCTCCCCATTACACATAATCGGACTATCGACATACAGTGCGGTTGCTCCTAACAGATAAACAGTGCGGTGGTTGCTCCTAACATACGCTAGATAGATTTAAACTGTGTTTGAGAAAATTTCTGCCTAAATACTATTTTGCTGTTAAAAAATCTGTCGGATTTTTTTGTGTTAACCAGCTGTCGCCCCCCTATGAACGACCACTCTAAAAAGTCGAAACTTGTGCGAACTAAGGACTAACGAGTTCTCACATTTTAAAGTGTGATTTCTAACACGAGTTGGACGATAGCAAGTAAAAATCGATCATCCAGCCTTGCGGCTTGAACCACCGGTTAACACAGCGGTCGATTGAGTTAGTGGAGCAAAGCACCCACGTCAACTTCGACCGGCTACCGTCCTACTGGTACACAATGAATGATTATTTGGAATGTGTTAATATACTCAATTGTTCAAGTTGTTTTTTGTTGTGTAATCATTGTCTGTGCGGTTTTTCCCTTCCTGAATCATGACGAAACCAATAACATGTACCAATTGTTTTATAGAAAATGAAATTCCATTGTATTGTATTATATTGAATGAAAACAAAGGAGTTATTTATATTTGACACCCCAGATTGACGGAAAGTGCAAAATTATTTTCAGTTTATTCGTGATAAAGCAACATGTGGATTCATTTTCCACAAATATAAAAACAGGTAATCTGCTTCAAATTAAAATGGTATATTTCCAAAAGAGAATAAATTTTGTGAAAAAAAGGTTTTGGCTTTCTACTTCCCCATCTTGATACAGAAAATTATGGAATCTTCCAAACGAAGGAAGGAACCAATCAATTTCAAAAATACTCTTGTATGAACGCTAAATTATACGGAAACAATTTTTCTATTCCGTTTGTATTCGTAATGGAATCGAATCAGATAACATTCACAGGATTTCTTCATAATATAATTGATGCAAGAACTAACATTTCCCTTACATGGAACACTGTTATCCTCCCAGATGTTTTGTCGCGAGATACTTGCCTTATGGCTCTTTAGTACGGATAACATAAAAAACTCAATTCGTTCATAAAATTACGACTTTTTTCATGGAATGGGTCGAATCCACCAATGTGTACTACAAAAATGCTACCAGACAGAGTAGTTGTGACAATAGATACTTCAATTAAAAACAGCAATAAAGAAGCAGGGTAGCGTCAACATTATCAAGTAGGATGAAAAATTTCAACTGGAACACATTTTTATATTTGAATAGGTATTTTATATGAAACGAAGCACTAGGTTGAAAAAGAAGTTGAGCTCAGGTAACATATAAAATATCTTTTGTTATCCTTGCCGTATAATTTACAAAGTTCACCATTCCCAATTCTCAACTATTGATCTTCTTTCTCTCAACTCTTTTCTTTTATTTCCAATATGTAACCCAAGAAAATTATGGAAGACGTTAGCATGGAATTTATGTCTCAACTTCTTCCTATAAATAGTCACCAAAAAACCTAGCCTCACTTTTGTCGTGCGAACATTTTTCAGAAAAAAAGAAATCTTCCTTCGGAACAAACAGTCAAGAAAGTCTGCAATCGGCAAGAAATTCCGAAACGCTTGTTAAATGCTAACTGCTCTTTATTTCCGTCGTGGCCCTAGAGCAATTTGAACTCTTGAACGTGTTGATCAAACCCAGACTTTAACTGGAAAACTTCTTTTCTAAAACGGTTAGTTTCTGTCGCCATTACAATTGCACGTGGCTTGAAAGATGTCGTGAATGAGTTTGAGGATCCTCTAAAATAAAATATATTATTATAATAAATTGAAAAAGTTTATTTTGTTTGTTCGCTTAAACGCGTTAATATCTGGATCTGCCAATCGAATAAAAAAAAAATGTGTATAAAAGCCACGTTCATGGGAAAGATAATTGTCAATCTTGTTGAGGCTGGGTCAATGGCGGGAAGCGCTTACAACACAACTTCTGCTGCAGGAAACCAGTGATGCAATTGAACCCAGGTTTGTGTTTAATGAACCCTACAAAATACAAATAAAACAGAACACANATGCTCTTGTGTTGAGTCATTTTGCATATTGTGATGTAGTGTATGGTGCCTGGATAAAAATATATTTTAATAATTGAGAGAGTTCAAAAATCATATCTTTGGTATATATATGGTTTTAGAAAATACACGTTTTTCACACTCGGCTACCCTCTTGCATAAAATATTGATTAACAGATGTCCACCATATTTGTATAACAAAATAAGATTCCGTAGCGATGTACACACTCTAAATTTGAGGTTTAAAGGGCTACTTTCTCCGCCGCCCCATCGAACCACTCTATATCGACGATCTTTCGGTTATAATATATATAGTTTATATATATTCCACAAAAATATAGAGTTAGTAAAGTTTCTTCATTTAAGTGCCGTTACAAAAAATATCTCATCTGTTACACTAATTTATTAACAAGAGTGTTGAATAACTTTCTTGATGATCTATGATCTATTTTCAGCATAGATGGAGCACCAGAACATACTTTGAGTCGCGTAAAAAGAATGTTGCGAGACTGTTTCGGAAAAAGATAGATTGCTACAAATGATCCTTTTAAGTGGCCTCCTCGTTTACCAGACAGGACACCTCTAGATTTTTATTTTTGGGGATTTCTGATTTCTGTACAAAATGAAACATAATAATGTAGACGAACTGAAAAATTGTATTGAAATTATAATTAATATAATTGATGACCGAATTGTGTTGAAAGCAACACGTAGTGTAGAGAGAAGGGCCCAAATATGTTTGAAAAAAAAAACTGTTTCTCCGTTAACCAGCTGTCGCACTCCTACGAACTACAACCCTCAGAAGTAAAACTTGTGCGAGCTAAGGATTAACGAGGTCTTACCTTTTAACGTGTGATTCCCAACAAGAAGCTCATTATTTGCCAAAACAAATACATTTTTTGTACCAGTGAAAGAAATAAATATTTCCAAATAAGTCGCTCATTTTCAACATTAGGAAGAGAGGTGATATGAGCTTTGTTGTGGAGGATGTTATTATGAATAGAAATGCATGATGAAAAATAAAGTGTTCCATTGAAAAAAATATCATTTTATGAAACATTTTGAAAACGCGGCTGTCAATTTTTTTGTTCTCGGCATCGAGCAGGCCATTGAGAATGCTTCTAGTTTGCCCATATAACCGAATTCCTAAAGAATATTACTGGAGTTTTTCCCAACACCAAATCGTTATTTTTAACATCTCGACACGTGTTTCGATCACCAAGTGATCATCTTCAAAGAGGATGTAAAATTAATTTAGGTTGGTATACCTGTATGGTTGGTACGCCTGGATGGTTTACCTGTATGGGTTACCTATATAGCATAAA